ACATGTATCCTGGTACATTTGATTGCTGCTACATGTACTACATATATAAAAGTCGTAAACTTTTAAGTTGTACCTTGTGTGCATTGCGAACTACTGCCTGTGTATCTTGTATAGTGTACCCTCTATGTCGACGCAAACTGTTAATTCTCTGGTCCATTATTGACGCAACCGAAAAAGTAAACCCAGATTTATATAGTCATCCTTATAAAAGTCCTATTTTAGAATTTGTAATTTTGTGCCTCAAGTCACCTTTTTGATTTTTTTCCTGAAGACTACCCTCCCCCTCAAGTCACCTTTTTGATCTTCTTCCTGAAGACTACCCTCCCCAGCAGTCAACAAACTGACTCAACTTGATTTTGAGGGATTTAATTTTGACCCGGGATTTCTATAAAATCAGTCCTGTTAGAAAGCACACAGATCTTGTATACATTTATAATGAATATCTACATAGCTTGGATACTGTTGCTTTAAGTAATTGGCATTACATGTAATTGAACAAGAAAGGTTCATAATAATTGGTCTGTTTGTACACTTGAGTCTTATCACTTGTTTTCATTGCAGCAAGTTTTCTTTAACGATTTACTCTCTTTTGTTTTTGTAGATAAAAACAGAAAATTAATTGGTGTCTTGTCATCTTCTATCACAATGTGAAGTGGTAGTGTTGCCACCATGGGGTATTTACTGGTATACTGATGGTTCCATTGTAAGCCTATGATGACATTTCTGAAGGCTTCTAACTGTGCTGGATTGATGTGTTTATTTTAAGACTGGGTAATCATTTCAGTTGATTAGATATTGCAGCAGTGAAAGAATACCCACGCACTGGCAAGCCTGAGATCAGAGGCCAGTCTGCCGATTTATGTGGGCTAATGGAATAACATACTGAGCCGTACAGACTGATGTAAAGGGAAGATACGTTACATCAGAATGAGCGCATCTCCAGAGGTGGACACAATACGAGCTAGGGCTTTGCAGGCAGCCCAATATTATCATAAAAATGTTTTACCGAATGGGGGTAGTATCACAGGCATAACTACACCCCCTCCTCATCCTCCACCTCAACATTCAGCATTTCTCAGGGCTAGTAAAGATATGCACAGGTCAAGTCTACGAGTGAATGGAACAGTCCGTACTGGCGAGGATGCATTGCGAGCTGGGGTGACTCCCAACAGTGAGAAAACACATTTAATGATGAAAGCACAAGGTTCAGAATATGGAAGTAATATGAGACTTGGAGATTACAGACCTCCATCAAATCAGAGCATTGAACATCATGATAAAAAACCCACTCCAACGGGTGATCATAGGATCACTCCACTGCCTTTTGAAGGTGCAATGACTCATAATTCATCAAGTAATTATATCAGCATCAGAGGCTCTCCGAAACTAAGCAACCGAACTATACATCATAACCGATCTAATACCTACCCAGATGCCAGGTCGAATGACCGGACTGATTCAGCATTCACTCAAGTGCACGCCAAGGAATCTCGGAATGAGAGACTTCATCCAAGTAACTTTAGTGGACATAGCACCAAGCGACATAACACAAGCCCTGATAACAGGTATGATGTGTTTAATAAAAGTCGACAGGACAAAAATGGTGCACTGACCACAGACAATATTAATTTGCACATGAGAAATGAATATTTTAAGGGTGATTTTCCTGTTAGGAGGAGCAATAGTAATTCTACATTGAACGATACCCTGGATCGCTTGGGAAGTTCTTCCCATGTAGATGCAGTACCACATCGGGAATATGGGAGTACATCTTCCATGGATATGCATAGCATCAGTGGAGAAAGTTTTTTCCAAATGTTGCGTGAATTTCGGACTGATATTGATCAGCGGAGCCCAGCTCCTCCACAGTTGGAAAAACTCCTGGGTGGTGGCCATGTGACTTTTGCCACAAAAGTTGTCACCCATACAACCTCAAGTTCTAAAACAACAATAGCTTCAGCTGAACTTAAACCTGTCACAGAAGTTAGTGCAAGCCCCAAACTGGCAAGGAAAAATACCAGCAAAAAGGAAAAGGATAAGGAGAAAGAGAAGGATAACAATAAACCCTTGAAAGTTAAATCTCAGTCAGGAGAAAAGTCTTTATTTAGTAAACTGCGGGGAAGTAAAGGAGAGGGTGATAGTATGGATTCAGATTTACAGAGAAAGTTAGAGGAAAGGGCCAGGCAAAAAGCATTTGCTCACTATGACTGTCAAAGTATGGCAGTTGATCTTAACGATGTTATGAAAAATAGCCAGCAGGTGGGAAGACGGAAAAATACAACTACAGGGGCATCTGCAGCATCTAGGGGTAGTAATCCGAATACACCACAGGTAAGAGTTTAATGAGATCTTAACCATTATCATGCAGTCAGTTGAACGTTCTCAATGTCTGCTAACTGCTTAAATATCCAGCTGATGTAAGATGAGTGTTCTATGATTAATTTAAAGGGCGGTGGTCGGTCCGCAGTGTGTGCCTGAATTATTTGTGAACAATGTGTATTTTACATGCGTTGTATATTTCATGTCGCACGAAGACAACACCTTTTAATGCACCTACTGCATGGTAGTTGAGATTTCACATCCCACATGCAGCTATTCAAATGTCATCCATTAGTGCTTCCTCTGATTTATACAGGGCAGTTGAATTTCCAGTTTAAGGTGTGCAAGCATATAAATCTTGCATCCTAATGTATTAAGTAAACATAATTGCCAAGGCTGAATTACTCAATCTAATAAGTCTAATTAACTCCATACCCTGGAGGGGGTGGGGGACTATCTGAGCATATCTAAAATATCTATCTGTTTTAATTCAAACACCTTCCAAAGGTATTAGTCACATTAGTGACAGCAGGATATTTAATTTTAACTGGGTCAGATACCCTAAACTATAATATATCGGTAATGATAAAAATGCCAGTGAAACCTCTACTTACCTAGTACTTGGAGCATTGGAATTCATTCGACAGAGGGAATTTAGCTGTGTGTCGGATTAAAAAAAAGGTTTTTGATTCTACTAAGCCACGGCACATGTATTATAAAAAAATCTAAGATTCTTTTCATTTATATCTACTTGATATTGGCTTTCTAATAAGTATTATATGGCTGTCAACACCATGTGTACATCATGTATAGTATTTCTATTTTGGGCAACACTTAGGCTGGACAAGTAGATTGCATTTAATGACCACATGTAGAGTATGAAAAATTGATCTTGATTGAATTTCTTTGACATTCTCTTTTCTGAATGGCAATGGCAATGACACATTGTATTGTAGCAATGCTTGCTGTGTAAAGTAAACAACCTTTAATGCGTACCAGTAATATGAATGTCTGGTTAATATACTACAGTTTTTAATGTTTACTTATGACACATATGCCTAGTGAGTGAAAAAAGCTCACATTTATATTTGTCTTTTGTAACATTATTCCATGTAATAACATTATATAACTTACTGTAGTACAGCTGAAGATTATACACCATATACATGTCTAAAATAATGCTAATCAAACTGGTTTGAAATATTGGTTTTCTCTATTTATGCATTATTTATTTTGTCAAATATATCTAGTATTTACATGTACATGTAGTAGTGCATAACCTTAGGAACAAAGCACTGGCATTTGTTTTGTGAATTTTCAAAAAAGCACATACATGTACATGCATGTGCCTCCAGTAGAGTAAATATGGTAGTAACTGTTTATTTATCTATAAAATAGAACTAATCATGATTTTTATTGAAGTCGGTATACAATTTAATTGTGTTTACATGAATCACAGGGTAGCCGTGAAGACCTTTCTGATGAGGATGCAGACTATGGCGATAATAAAAATAATGACCTAGTTCTGAGCTGCCCATATTTTCGAAATGAAATAGGAGGGGAAGAAGAACGGAATATTAGTTTATCCCGAGTCTCTGTGGATGGTGCGAGACCTAGTCAAAGGGGTTCATATGAAGCCATTTTAGAAGGTGCCAAAGTGGGACTTACTGGTGGATCGCCAGGTTCTCCTGATAATCCTGCATATTGGACTCAGCCAGCAATTGAACGAGTGGACTATGGAGCTCATTATTACAGAGATTATTTCTATGGACAAGGTAAATTTATTTCTCATTAATTCTCATATGTTCCAACAAAAAATATGTGTGTTATTATTTTTTTGGCTTTTAGTTTTTTAATCTTCTGTTCGTAGCTCTACAAATGACTAGTAGATTTGATTGCATCACATGTATGTCTTCTTGTTATTTCACTTTCATGTATGGTACTTTTGTTTAATAGTGACATCATGCCATGTAGAAATTTGGCAATATATTTAATTGTTATTCTGGGCTGTGTAATGCAAACTCTAATGTGGGTAAACAGTATTGGTGGTCCTACAGGGAGCAACCCTCATTATAAAGAAAACACAGCTAATTGAAGCCATTATCTTCATAATTACAATTTAAGAACTCAGTGCCTTATTTCCGGAATCGCTATTACTTGATTACAAGTTTTAATCCCAATTAACTCAATCAATCAATTAACTTCCTCAGTCTGTGTCTACAAAGGAAATAGCCATACTTGATTGGCTCTTAATTACCATCTAATTATTACATTGAAACATTTGATATTTGCACACACAGTCAGCATTTCATCGTATAGTATTCATATATTATATTATGTGTGTGCTAAAAACTGTATTTAATTCATAAAAAATATGTTCTTAGTATAAAACAAGTAATGCTTTTTATGACTAGGATGTTCATAAGTTTTAGATACATGTATTCCTTAGGGGGAATATACATGTACAATAAATTAATTCATTTTATATGTTAGATCCAAAAATAAAACATTATCATGTTTAAAAATTATTTGTAAGCACAGACATATTAAACCTTTTTCATTTTATGCTGTGTACAGCCTTGGGGTTGGTAGCATGATCTTTACTGGTTATTTCACTGATGAGTTCATTTTAATGCTTCATAAAATTAGTTGCAATAAAAATATTCCTGTGTGCAGCTCTAGCCAAAACTAGCTGACCCATGAAATGTTCTAGCTTACAACAAAACAAGACAGAGTGTTCTGTGTTATTTTTTTTTCTTGATCAATAATTCCACTATTCAACATTTCTTTAATTGACCAACTGTGCACATGGAAGCCTTTATATTGTAAATCACTTTATTTTTGCAAAGAAATTTTTAGCTCCGCTGTCGACTTTGTCAAGCGGAGCTTATCATATGAGTGATTGTCTGGTGGCGTCCGGTGTCCATCGTCCGTGTAAAAAGTGATATTTTCGACTTCTTGTTAAAAACCACAAGTCCAATTGCTTTGATATTACATATATAGGTACTACTTGTGTATCTCTCTCAGATTTGTTCATTTTGTAATGATATCTTTAATTCTCTAATTTTGGTGAATATTTTTGTCATTTTTGGTAAAAAGTGATATTTTCGACTTCTTGTTGAAAACCGCAAGTCCAATTGCTAGATATTACATATATAGGTACTACCTACATGTGGACCCTTCTCAGATTTGTTTATTTCATGATGATATCTTTAATTCTCTAATTTTGGTGAATATTTTTGGTAAAAAGTGATATTTTCGACTTCTTGTTAAAAACCGCAAGTCCAATTGCTTTGATATATTATACATATAAGGTACTACATGTGGACCTTGCTCAGATTTGTTCATTTTCTAATGATATCTTCTGTTCTTTAATTGCCATGTGCATTGCTAACAGCGGAGGTATCTCAGCCGACAGGCTGCTTGTTTTTTGTGAATTTCACAAATTCAGTGATATTTTGTAATACCGTATTTTCTCTATTAGTAGTACATGTGTTACATATATGACATGTGTGTCTATGGTCATAATAAGTTGTATTTTAATGATCCAGCATACATTAAATGTAATTTTTAGCTCCGCTGTCGACTTTGTCGAGCAGAGCTTATCATATGAGTGATTGTCCGTCGTCGTCCGTGTCAATGTTTTACTTTTTCGACTTCTTCTTGAAAACTACAAGCCTAAATGCTTTGATACTTGGTGTATATGTACCTTGGGTAGACCTCTTTTAGGTTTGTTCATTTTGTGATGATGTCTTCAATTCTCTAATTTTGGTGAATATTTTTGTAATTTTTGGTAAAAAGTGATATTTTCGACTTCTTGTTAAAAAACAAAAGTTCAATTGCTTTGATATTACATATATAGATACTACATGTAGACCTTTCTCAGATTTGTTCATTTTGTGATGATATCTTCAATTCTCTAATTTTGGTGAATATTTTTGTAATTTTTAGTAAAAAGTGATATTTTCAACTTCTTGTTAAAAACTGTAAGTCCGATTGTTTTGATACTATACATATTGTTCATTTTCTAATGATGTCTTCAGTTCTTTAATTGAAATGTGCATTGCTAACAGCGGAGCTATCTCAGCCGATAGGCTGCTTGTTTGTTTATGTGTGCTGTTATTGCACATGTGCTTTTAATAGAGTACATACACTAGCGTGATCATTTCATAAAATGTCATTTCCACATACATGCCCAAATATTCTAATAGTGAAAATTATTAAATAGTTTACAGTGTAGGAGTTGTTTCAAAGTAACCATAATATTTTTGGTTCTAGATAACTTCCTGAATTATGTGTAGCTTGGCACTAGACCATGCACACTACCGGTATACAATTTTAATCAGGCATTGCGGCTCATAAAATCATTTAATACATTATACAAGTAATACTATGCAGTATGAAAGCAACCTTGTCTGAATAGTTTTTAATATCATTCTGGCATCGGCAGATAATGTAGAGATTTCAATAGACACAATATGTCCTAGAATTTGTTAATCTCCAGTAAAATGTAAAATGAGAAGTATTCACTAAGATTTTGTACACGTATAAGCTGATTTGATATTCCAGGGTTTTTAGCCATGTACATATGGACCATGTTCAGTATGTGCCAAAAAAGTTGTTAATCCCCTAGTTGGCAAAAAGATTATTGTCATTGTACTCATTGAGGCAAACCCTAACTGGACTCGCCCAGCTTGAGCGGAAATCATACACTCAATTAATATTATCTCAATGTTTCATGTCATTACTTTTTATTTTCATTTATTTGAAACATGTATTGCAGTCTTTTGGAATATTACAATTATTTGAAATACAAAATTTTTTATGTATTGCTTGGTTCAGGTGATTGACATTCTCAAAAGAATATCCTGAGAGAATAGGCGACAATAAGACATACATGCATGGAAACCTCAATGAAGCTAATGTTTGGGACATGTACAAAAACTTGTTTGAAGAAATAATGTACACCATGAAATTGTTGTTGGTATCAGTACTCATTGGTGCAAATGGGGACGATACGTATAATTTTTCATGTGAAATTAGTGTAAAAAAAATAGAAAATCACAAAATATAGCACCATAAAAAGAATCAATAAAATGAAAACTTATATGGAGTAACATTGCTGGGAAAAACTAAAATGTATATTCAAAAGACTGCAACGAAAAATTATTCTTGTTGTTTGACAAGCTAGGATTTTTGTCAAGTTTATATGCAATCTACTGTTGTTTTGCGTGAATTTTTTCTTCAAATAATGGAGTTGATTAGAGCATTCAGACAGACATTACTCAGCATATGCTGAGGATGGTCCAGGTCCAAGAAGCGGACCTAAACTAGGGAAGGTTTTCAGCATGTGCTCACATGCCAAAAGCATTTGTCTGAGCACAGATATAATAATAATAATAATAATAAAGAGTATTTATATTGCGCTTAACCTAAATTAGCTCTAAGCGCATATACACTAGATTCATTTGTGAAGAAAAAAGTACATTCTAAACTTTTCTTATTTAAAGAGTTCGCTTTTATCTTTTGGCAAAATAAAACCCATTGTAAGAGTATGCAAATAAGAGGAAAGACAAGTGCTTTAAAAATATGTGAAATCTTATATGTAAATATCAGATCTGTAAATTATTAAACACACACATGTAGTTGAATGAATACAACTAATCCATGGTATAAATCTGACATATTGAATCCCCAAAAGTGTTGTTAATGTGAATATGAATGACATTCAAGGTACCAAATTGACAGAGATTTCGTGACTAAGTGGCAAATTTTGCTAGTATTGTTGACTAGCGTTTCAGAGTCTGGGGATTTACCAAGATCTACATGTTGCTGTCACGAAAGTCACTAAACCTTCTGTTTCAATCCACCTTAGATTATGACATGAACTATAAACTAAGCTGACAAAATTATGGCATCCTGAATCCAGCTAGCCTATAATATATGGAATTTATTATAACCAGACATTTCATGCATATTTCCATGTGCTTGGCTTGATGGTGTTGCGACAGCTGCTTTGTCTGCAGGCAAATACACCAAATTGGGAATGTGTTCATTAATGCAGCTGTGTTTATAACATGATTTAATTATTTATTATGTACATGTACCTAGATGAGAATATTGAATATTTTACATGATAATATTTAATTTGTCACCACAATATGAATTATACAAGCATAATATTTATTTTATCAAGGGTTATACAAATAGCCTGGTATTTGTATAATAAAACTTAGTGATCTAACATACCAGGCATTATGGATAATTCATTCTCTGGAAGCTATTTCCCTGAAGGAGATTTTCAGTAATTTATATTCATCTGTTCGTGGTGTCTATGATTAAAGGGTTCTGTGTTTGTGATTGTACCCTGAAAATATAATCAAATGAAGAAAGATGTGAATATTTATGTCAAGGAATATTTTTTTGTTTCATTACAAGTGGTGTCATGTGTTTCAGTGATGTCATCAGTCCTTGTGCTTTAGTGCAAATGATGTCAAAACTTGTGTCACAAGAAGTTGTGCACGGTGTGACATAAAGTTCTACATCTACATGTATATACTTTGACGTCTGGTTCAAGTTCACTAAAATTTGGGATGAAATGTCAGTTAAATCAAAGACTTCTCTATTGTCTTTGGTTAAATAAAATGTTGTCACCATGCTTATTTTTATCACATTAGAGTGTCTATACTATCTATCTTTAATACCTACATTATGTTGCCAAGGAAGAAAGAAAAGCTAAATTGCTCAATTGAATGCCTTCAGACATATAATTCTGACTATGGTCACTGTCTGTGATGTGTGATGTCATTAGCTGAATGAGGTTCAAAGGGCAAAATTTTGAGGTGTTTGTGGAGACCCAGTTGTTAGAACTTGTTCTAGGTTTGACATTTTTAGATAGTCAGTATTTTATATCAAGGTGAAAGTAAAATAAAAAACAATTTCATGGATGACTGGATACTTTCTACCTATTCTGATTGTGTTACAGTATTAAACTGCCACGTTCTGCATTATTCACACACATGAAATTGCACTTTACAATTACTTTTTGATTTGATGTACATTTTATAATAGTCTGTAGTGTTGTCTAGTATATAGCCATTATTGTTGTTACCATCGTAACATAACAATATAACAATAAAACATAACTACCTAAACAGAGCTTGTCAAACAAATATTTGATTATTCAACCAAATATTTTCCAAACAAACTTGTATTTGCAATGACGTAGGTGATAAATTGTGCTACTGTGTGTCAATGATGTTTGTTTTGCCTATTATATGAAATTGAAAGCCATTTCTCTTTCAGAACATCAGAATTATTTGGGTATTGATGAGAATCTTGGTCCAGTTGCTATCAGTGTGAAACGAGAAAAGTTGGATGAGAAGGATGTGATTGGAGGTGTGGGTAATGCAAATAAAGACATTTCTACTGCACAGTACCAGTATAGGATTATAGTTAGGACAAGTGAGGTAAGCACTATGACACCCTCCCCCTTCACCTCCTATAAACAGATTGGCAGAATAATTCTTGGTCAGCAGCCTTCTATAAAAACCAAATGCTACTGTATTTCCTTTTATATCAGATGTTCGTTATGCATTTGTCAATCATGAAGTGTAATTTGATGACTTACCATTGTCTGCTTCTAAGGAAATAACATTACCCAAGACCCTCTAGATTTCTATTCTTCCCAAATCATTCTTGTATTTTTAATGTCGTGCTTTATTCCCTAAATTCCAAGAAACCAACAAAACATTTAAAAATATGTATTACTCTATTTCACTGTACTGCCTATTTTTGTCTATTTATTTGCGGACTATTATGCTATCATTACTATGAAGAAGAATGTATAACTTTCATACATCATCACTTTCTTGATCTTGTAAGGTGACAGTAGTAAGTTATGTCTTGTTGGTCAGCCTATAGTTAGCTGCCTTTCTTTATTGCTGCCAGCCTGACTAGTTAAATTATTTTTAAGAGAATTAAAACAAGAGTGAATGAGTTAATAATCATTTCCTATTGTACCACCTGTGAGCTTCCAGGTAAGTTTGACTAGTTCATTTTTCACATATATAGATACTTGATATACTTCCTTATAACCATTACAGCTATCAACGCTAAGAGGGTCTATACTCGAGGACTGCATTCCATCAGCTACGAAACATGGCACATCAAGAGGTCTACCTATCAGAGATGTATTGGAATACATTGTACCGGAAATTCAACTGTCATCGCTCAGAACGTCTCTTAGTACGGATAAAGTACAAGAACAGTTAATGAAGTTAGATGAACAAGGTGTAAGTAGTAACATAGTGTGATTTGTGTACTTATCATGCATACAGGTGTGGGCAAATGGCAGTGAGGAGAGCTTCTTGTCTGTCTTGACAGCTTTTAAATTAGATTGTGTTCCTGGTGTGGAATAGGGCTAATATGAACATTATCTGTAACTTCAATCCTTAACGTTTATATTTCTGTTTTAAAATATTTTGAAATAAATTTACAAACATTATTGGTTTGTTTTTTCTTCCAGATCAATAACAAATACAAAGTTGGTGTGATGTTTTGTAAAGCTGGTCAAAATACTGAAGAAGAAATGTACAATAATGGTAAGACAGAAAAGCTATAGAGGGCACCCATAACTCATAACTGGATACTTCATTGTTTATTGATACTGTAAAACCATTTATTTCATTGAATTTTACTTATCAGTGAAAATAGTGAAATTAAAAACCAGTTAATAATTAATGCTTTCACAGTAAACAGTTAATAAGCATTAACCTAACAGTAATTCATTTATGTTTCAGAGAATTCTAGTCCTGCTTTAGATGAATTTTTAGAAAGCATTGGAGAGACAGTTAGACTCAAGAATTTTGACAGATACAGAGCACAGCTTGATAACAGAAGTAAGTCACCGAAACTGAGATACAACTTTTGACCTGAATGTCTATTGTAAGTACCGAAACTGAGATACAACTTTTGACCTGAATGTCC